CTGCCCTTCCAACACATTACTTAAAACTCGAGGTACTGTGTCGCGGGTAGTATGTTTGGTAAAACATAAAGTCAAACTAAGCGGTCATTTACGATACCGGCCCACATATTGATGGAAAACCGTCGTTGAAATCGTACTTCTTGACGAGCTTGTGGATTTTCATCGGGCCAAATGTGAGTGTTACAACAAAATGCAATTTAAAAAGTTCATTATATTGCTGTAACAACTATTCTCAGGAAATTATACGACGTGGAAAATCGACGCGCTCCAAACCTTGCACTTTTTGAATGTGGTATGAATGTAGGCCTTGTTCTTTTAATGTAGGATGCACTAGAAGCTGTGAAACTCCAACTTTAGCTGCTCTTCTTGACGCGTTCCAAAATTTGTTTTTTAGCTTGCAGTATTCTTTTGAGGCCTGAAGGTACCATGATATCGGAGAAGCTGTACCACTGATGGAATGTGCGATTTGGAAAGCGGTCGATCCACAATTTGCGGGCCAACCTGGCGTTTCCATTAGCCACACCATAAAGCATTACCATGTGGACACGCTCTGAATTGGAAATATTCACCATTGTCAAAGACGTTAACCGAACACACGACGGGAACCAACTAATACATGACCGGCCCTTATCGTGTTTGTGCTTTATTGGTTCTTAATTCTAGTCGTTCTGTGCTATTAATTGAAAATTAGTTATAGTAGGTCAAGAAACACTACCAGTGGCGTGTATAACAATTTATATTTAATTTCAAATATTTTTTCTAGAATTTGCTACCACGCAATGAATCGTATTGTATGTATGTATGTTTAAGGATTACTAGTACATTTTAACTAACCTCGTAGACATTTATTTATTTTCAAAATAATATTATAGCTGCCAAAATTCTGCAACCAAAGATGAAAACTTATTAACTTCATCCTCTGGCGAAAGAAAACCAATCAAAATTTTTGATAGATTTCGAAAAGACCTGCAACGACTTATTTAGTAATATAATAGGCCCAATTCTGAATCAGACCTGTTAAAATTTAAAGGTTGTTAAAAAATAGACAGCCAATCAGATTTACGAATTTAACTCGTTACTATGGAAATTTGCAATTTAACACCCTTTAAATTTAACAACTTTGATTCAGAATTGCCCCTAATGAAAACAATGAATATTTTACTGTAGACAAGCTTTTGGCTAAAATGATACTCCTGATTAAATTTCGAAGACACTTTTCAAAATAATTAAGTCTATCGGGTACACCGTCAGCGTCGTTCGAAAAATCTTATGTGAACAGAAACATATCGTTTTAGCTAAAATTACTTTTTCAAAAATTTTTCAGGAATCTTTTTGATCACTCGGTGCGCTATAAGTTGTAATAACATAACGTTTATTCCTAAAACAGCGATTCAGATTTGCACAATAATCCCAGCAAAATTGCAAGTGAAGTCATATTGACTTTTATTTTTCAATCCTTGATTGTAAATACTGATCCAGGGTTTCAAGTGCAATATGAACCTTATTACACTTACTGTACATTGGAGGCATCGGTTAATTCAATAAAAACTGCAATTATTTACGTACAAGTTGAAACCCTGATGAAGTGCTAATAGAGGCACGAGACGTCCGTCAAGCAGTAGTCTTTTTTTCCTCTCACAATAATCATAAGCGCCTAACTTCCACGATTTCAGATGTATATTTACAAGTGAAGGTTCAAGATTTACAATCTTGCATGTGGGTTAATCCAGAAGAATGCAACTTTTTATTAGATTAAAAAAATAACGACAGGGATTACCACAAAACGATATACGGAACACTTCCTCAAAAGTGGATGGTTAAATAAGCCTATTCCAACTGTAAACAAGTTGCAACAAAAATGTGTGACGGTAATGAATAGAGAGCGGAAAATATGCACCAAAATTTTGAGAAATATGATCATATGATATGCACCAAATTTATGCAAATATGCAGTAACTTTCTTAATATATGCAGAGATATGCAGTTGCATATGCTCCAAAAATGAAAAAAAAAGATTAATAAGCGAACTAAATTTTTTTATAAATTACAAAAACAAGTTTCCCGAGCTTACGTTTTATTACCAAAAAATACTTAAATCACATTGCAAAGTGTTTAACTACATCTCACTAACACATAAATCACGTTTTTAAAGGTAATATTCTTATACTAAAAAATAAATATAAACAGAACTAATTAAAAAATAGTAGTAATCCACTATTTAATTACTATTTTGGTAACAATTTATTTTTAAAAATTTTTCTAAATGTTCTAACAAAAAGTTTTTCCGGTGATTCTAAAGTATATGTATTTGTAAATAGAAAAACTGCGTACTACGTTCACAGATGTAAAAATACTTACCGGTTTTAAGCCGGCGCGACAAAACACAGTTCGTTCTTAAAGAATAAGTTCAGGAAAAGGTTTAATCCATAAATTAATTTGAGTTATCTTTGGCATATCGATACACCTGTATCCCTTTAAATGCTTTCAATACAAACTCACGATGAAAAATAATAGTATAACGTTCCTTCGACCACTACTAAACATACCATTAATACACTTAATTAACGAACAAAAATATTGGGAACGAACGGTATTTCCAAAAGTAATTAGGGCGCGAATTTACCTGGAAGGATGGCTTAACACCCAGTGGTGTCTCCAAACTACCATAAAACCCAAACCTTTCCTAGTTATTTGAAGCTCAGGACAATATTTGCAATATGATTCATAAAATTTCGTCTTTCTAGATAAATGCCAATAGAATGTCAATCATTTTTTTGTCAATTTACCATAAAAATTGATAAAAATGCAAAATATGCACCCATTCCGTGAAATATGCAGCAGAAGGCCAATATATGCAAATATGCAATTTTTTATAGCTGTATTCATTTTTAATTAGCATGATTCGTTCACATATTAAATATCGAGACTTATATGCAAAAAATAACGGATATGCAAATTTCATAAAATCCGCTCTCTAGTAATGAACAATAAACCATACCATTCGGTACAGTTGGACAAACCACCCACATTTTCTAAGACAAAAAGTCAAATACAAGAGTAGTTGATTAATCACAATATTGAATTTGACCAAAACTCTTCGAAAAAACAGCGGCTCTTATAATATTTAATTCAACTTTTTAGAACTGATGGGAAAAACGATTGACAGGTGATATTGCGAAGAAGTGGTCATGAGGTCCATAGATTACCCCATACCATTATCAACACAAGCACACTGATTACACAGTAGAGCAATTTTAGAAAAATTTCTTGTTACAAGCATTCTGAAACTGGATTCTGAAAGGTTATTTTGTGCTGAATAACTATCTAATAAGACATTATGCCTACGTTGTCAAAATTTTTTTTTTGGATATTATTTATAGATAGTTCCAGTTAAAGGTGTACTATTGCATAATGGGAATAAATATCTAGTACTGCGGACTGCATACTCCATACAAACTGCAGAAACATATTAGAATATTCAACACTTGTTAAACTGTATTAATGGCAAAAAGTTTGAGTGAAATTTGATAGACGATTTAAAAATTGTAGCTTCAGTAACTGGCTTCCAATCTGGATATACCAAGCATATCTGCTTCTTATGCAAGTGAAAGACAAGAGAGAAAGCGTTTCAACATCTGAAAACAATATTTCCTAAGCTTTCTGCTGCTAACATAAACCAAGGTAAAAACTAAAATATTACTATGAATTTCAATTTTCATGTTATGTACGTTTTCTATATTTAGGAATTTTTATTGGGCCTGAAATTGGAATGAAAAATCAAATGTTTTACGCCTATGTGAATGATACAGAAAAATTTCCTTGGGAATCAATTAACTTACAGTGATCAGTGAATTTTTTTAAAGGAAACAAACATTGCACAAATTATGTCTCATTTAAATTTCTTTGCTGATAATAATCTTTTCATCGAGAAATCAAGAAAGTCGAAGAAAGATTTAAGAGAAAGACCCAAGTATCCATATCCGAATACATGAGGCTTTTATAAAGAGTTAGATCCTTCTACATATTCTAGGCAGGTTAAATATTCGTAGACGAAATTAAATATCTGTCGACAGAAATCTGTGGAACATTTTTTTAGTGCTTCTTGCGCGTTTTTCTATGTAAAATTAGAATTCACTTCATTTTTCTAATTGTTCACCGGACGACAATAAAATTTTTTTGACGACATGGGTATATTATCTCTTTTAAGAGTTGTTCAGCAGAAAATTACCTTTCCGACCATATTTAGAAAATATATGTAACAAAAACACTGTTCTACTGTGTAATGTTTCTTGATGATATTTAAGGTGGCAACAATGGTTGGGTTTCTGACACAATTCATAACCTTAAATTGGTAATCGACATAAAGAATGTCACTCTTTCTCTAGAAACTTTGCTAAATTTTCATATCTGCCTGCGGTCTAAAAAAGGTCGCGAATGCATTAGAGTTTCTTCTTTTCCTAAACTTTATGCTATCAGGAGTAAAGCAAAACGGATTGTACTCGTACCTACTCATTGTACTTGAAGAAAAGCATGCAACACAAATATTTCTAACCTAGAATATTAGGAAATTATGTATATGTTACCTACTTAAATTTTTTTTTTGTTGCTGTAAGAAACTGAAGGCAGCATGAAAGCAGAGCGTTACTCTTATTAGACTTACTGCTTAGGAAGCAGATCTACTACAACTTTAAACACTAACGCAAACAGTATAAAAATTATTGCTATATTGGATATAAATGTAACCGTCAATAAAAGCACACAGCGGTGAATCTTGATACGCCTAAATTTACACAACAGAGTTTTTACTCAATAAAGAGAGTATATATATGCATTCTTGTCCCCCTATGCACAAATGCTATTCTCATTTTATATAACAAAAATATTTAACAAAATTTTATACAGGCCAACAGTGTAATGCCGTTACAGTCGACTTCCATGAATACCCTTATATTTTTTATATTTTACTTAAGAATAATTTGACAAATAAATTGACAACTTACCATGTCCATGTATCGGAGGAAGTTTTCGATTTGTATTTCTTGGCGTGCCACCCACAACACGAATTTCAGCTCCTCTATCACAACCTTGGCTAGGAGTTACTATTATTTGCACCTATACAGAGGGATTATCATTTTTTTTGCAAGCATTTTCATTCAAAAAATCACGACTGTGTTTCATTAAACTATAAAATGTTCCTTACTTGAAACTGTGATTGACGATTTTGCTCAGGGTAAGCGTCTTCTTCATCTTCTTCTTGCAGTTCAGGTAACGCAACTGTTCTCTTGGAAGACATGGTGTCTCCAGCAAGGTACACACAAAACTGTCGTTTTTAATTTCAATTGCCCATTTTACGAGAATTGTTCGTGATATTACCACTATTTACCCAAGCATGAAACGTCATAACTTAAGGTCGGATTTGTATGCAAATAAAAGTCAAATTACATGACAAAATATCGTATTTAACAAAATGTTTGAGTATAAAATGCAAACGAGATGTATGTTGTTAAGTGAATAAGTATACGATTACATTCATCGTTGCTCTAACCTGTTTGTGTCTTTAAATTACTCTTAGTGTCGCAAAATGGATTTTACTCGATTTCTAGGCTGTAATAGTCACATTGCGTAAGGCACGGCATTAATTTTAATGGTAGTAAATTAATTAAAACCGAATTGCATGCAAATCCGGTATATGAAAGTCTTAATTAAGACCAGTAGGTTAGCATGATGAGTAATTGATTTTATTATTTCTTTATCAGTTAATTTTACGGTGAGCTTATCATTCATTTGTGGTTTAGTAATGGAGGAGAATTATTGCAACAATCACTGCGTAGGATAAACATTTTTTTATTATTGTTTCAACAATGTGATTTTTTTTAAATCTTTTTAACTGCAAAGTGGGTAAATAACCCCAACGAATCACATTAATGTATCTGTCATACCTGGCATCTTTATAGGATATGTTTTATTAATTATGCACATGATAGTAATTAATTGTACATCAACTCCAATTCCCATTTCAAATCGGTATAACTGGACGCGAAGTTAAGTCAAATTACTTTAAAATACATTTCTAATTTTTGGTAATTATTTTGTAATACATAATACAAATAGAAAATATCAACACTATTAATAAGTAAACAAATACTGAAATAGCGGAATAACATTTAAGTTGTTTAACTTTTAAACCTGGCTTGTGATACATATAATTTTTTTTCCTATAGAAGGATACTTAAATAAAATTCTTTATTGTTGAAGTATCAATAAATCCTCTTATAAACAGATAGCAGCACCAGTTTGAATCTTAAGACAACAACTTTTACTTTTTTTTTGCAGAAAGTATTTTATATACGTTGCCAAATTTAGGTTCATAGTTTCTTTAACAATACAAATGTCTGACCTGCTTATGCAGTGCCAAACGCTTTGTACATTTAGCCAAACTAAATTTGAGACTCGAGTACTGTAGTCTCAAATAGTATTACACTGCCCCTATTTACAAATTGCTACATGTGTCTTTGCTAAAACACCGAAAAAATTCATTTACTGCGTGTGCAAAGCAAAGACAAAAATGTAATACCATAATTATAAATAGAATGTTTTTTTTTCAAATAGGCATATGTCTTTTATAATTCCTTATATGTGACATTTATTTTGGTGGTTATTGTAACTAACTTGTTATTGTTATAGAAAAAGTTCTCTGAAGCATACGCACAGCATATACCTATAGTTCAACATATTTTTATTTTAATTTATATAGATTGTCATAAAAAAATAAAATTTGCAAACACTAATTTTATAATTTTTTGAAGAAGCTAAATTGTTGAACTCTATCCTAAAACCTGCTTTTTATTCGAATTATTAGCGTTTCATTTATAATTAAGCTACAAGATTCCAAATTAAAACTTATTCAGAGGAAATTTCGTTGTAGTTTGGACCTACCTGCAAATTTTGCCCTTGGGATTAGGACCCCCCACCTGCTGTCTGCTGGGGTAGTCGACGAAATCGGTCCGCCTAGAGGTTCATACGTGAGCGATTATACGCCTTTACAGGTGTAACGGAATATAGACCTTGTAAAAATTACCTTCATTATGGATCGCAAGCCACCTTAAATCAGTTTTGTTAAAATAATGTATGATTCTAGATAAAACAGATGTTAATTTGTGAATTAAAAAATTACTTATATAAACTTTTACAAAAAAAAAGTACGTACAATTCTCTGTTTCTCAGTCCACAATTTTTTTTAATTATATAGGTACATGAGCAATTCAGGTCGCCATATATATCTTATTTTACAATATCATAATCATCTTACTTGAAACACTATCGAAAATTTACCAAACATACAACCTAAATTTAGTCAATCAATAGTTGTGTTGTAATAAGGGGTAAGTTCCATATCAATTACAAGGAAGCAGTTTCAAGTGATCGATTATTACGTGCGTGTTAGAGGATCACCGAGGGAATGTAACGTTCAAGATAATTTTTACAAATTTTATTGCAATGTTACTGACTAATAAGCAAAAGTAATTTAATAAAATATGATAAATTTCCGCTTATCGGACTTCTGGTCTTGTAATCGCAAATAATTTGGCAATATCTCGTTGCCTCGTCCAGAATCTACAAAAGATTTCTATTCTAATTTTAGTACTGCCATCTATTTATGAGAGAAAGTATTAATACTAAGCAATAAAGGTAACGCTTAAAATTTTGTAGTTTTTATATATCACCAAAGTGTACAGCCTGAAATTTCAAGTATTGTTTTGAATACGAACTCTACGGGACGATTTCAAACATCTCGCGTTTTATAAACAGGTAATGCGTGAAAGTAAGGCATGCTATGCAACTAAAAAAATTGTTTTTTAGGTTTAAATTAAAATGATTCACGGTGTATTAAGAGCAACTTTATTAATTTCTTTGCTATTTTAACTTTACGAAATCTGAAAGTAAAAAAAACTTAATTTCGATATATAAGCTGCCTTAAATGTTTGCGGCACTCTTTCACAAAAAATTGCTTTCGAGCTACTAAATCCCCTGATTTGTTGATAAGGAAATCTTGAAGCACTTGCAGTCCAAATTGTAAATACAGTTGTCACATTAATAAAGTTAAATGTAAGCCACTCAACACAAAACAAGAACAGGGATTATCTCCTCTCTATAGTTTAGTTTTATGTTCTCTTAATAAATAAACTCTAATTTTTCTTTATCATGTGTCTACCGCAAAAAAATCGCATCTGACGAAAAATCTTTTTCCTTTAATTCTTAGATATTTTAATTTCACAAAAGAAACCAGAACTCCGACAGAGACATATCGAACTATACCAATATTTTACTGAAGGAACTGTCATTTGTTTAACTATAGACAAAAATACAGATTTACTGCTGGGATTGGAATTTTATTACCGAGACGCCAGCCGAGACTATGAATCCAGCTAAGGTAATAAATCCGCCCCTTTGCCATATTGGGACATATTATTTTTTCGCCAATATTTCTAGTTTGCCATTCCTTTTGTTTAGTTTAATTCTCTCAAAATTTTTATTGTCATCAAGTAATACAAATTTGATGTTTATAAATTATTTGTTTGCAAATGTTCCGTTCAGTTTTGCTGTAGCTAAAGTAAAGTGACAATGAGATCTTAACAACGTCTGAAGTAAAAAAAGTTGTGAGAACTGCAGAACTAAAGCGTTCTCCGAAAAAAAAAAAGCGCGGAAACATATAAAGGATTTATGTTATGAGTATCTGTACAGAAATAGAAGTAACCCCACATTCAGCAACTATATTTATTGCATATTTTGCTGGATTGTCGAGCAAAATAAAATCTTTGAACGTTAAGTATCAGCACTAATCCAGACGTACGAAAGTATTTACGACTTAAATTTAAAAGTTTTAGAAAAATACCAAATGTTGCATTTTATGTTGACAACTCCAGTAGGTATTGAAACACTATTAAATGCATAAATTATAAAGGTAAATTTGGTAGTACTTCCCAAAAAATGGTTGCTTACATTTCGCACTTTGTTAGAAAATTCCGGTCCTGATTTCATACTGCTAAAGAGGCATATATGGTGGAAGTATTCAGTTCTAGCCGAAGGCTATATTGCAGATTCAAATACGAATAAACTATTAGCACTGAAAAAATTAGGGACTGAATGTAAGCAAAATCGAATTTTGTATAAAATACGAATATTAGTTTACTTACCTTGCGCTAACGTTGCAATTAATTAAAGTTAATAATATCAACTTCTCGATTGCTTTTTTAAGGTAACAGATGACCATAAAATGAACCTTGAATTAAAACGGCCAACTGCACCGAAAATCTAATGCTGATCTTGATTAACTTAGCCAAGACACAAAAGTATCAAAAACTAAATTTTGGTAAGAAACTTGCTCCAGTAAAAGTAGCGTAACAGTTGCTACTTTATTTATACTACAAGAGATGTAGGTGATGATTACCAGCCGAGGACGATGTTTGTCTCCGAATGTTAGCGAGCTGATAAAATATTTCGAGCCTGAACGACAACACAATATCCCGAGTATATAATATTTTTCCACTTCGATCGTTTTTAATTAAAACAAAAAAAAATAAAAATTTCATATGCCATTCACCCTTGATTTCCCCTGCCTTTTTTTTTCAAAACAATTTTTTGTCGAAGTTGAATTTGTTTAAAATTAATTTTAATGAAAATAAGCGAAATATGAAAAGCGAAAAGGCTGTGAGTGCTGCTTGTTCGGAAAAATCAAAGGGGAGTTACGGATTTTAGGATTTGTTTTCATCTGAAATATTTTTTTATCACCGGTTGTTAATAGTAACCAAAACTTGTTTAGTAAAAAAGACCTATCATCAGAATGGTGTCACAATACTGCAGGTACTTACAGTATAGGAAATGGAAAAACACATTTACACAATACTTTGAATTATCCAATGGTCAAAGATTTATGTGTTTTAAGTTCTCCAAATATGGTAGGATTTTCCATCTATAGGCCTACACAAAATGATTTGCTGTAATGTTAAAATCGAACTAAATTTTACACCTATCATAACCTTACGTGCAGTTCTTTGAGCTGCGATAATTTCAAGTATCCAATCAGGCGACGTCTTCAGCATATTCTTCTTCTTATTATTAATTTATTTCCCTAGCGTAAGCTAAGGAAGTATTGTATTAGAACGAGATCCATGCGGTGAATGGCTACTTTCATGTTCCCTAGACGTTTTCTGTCCCCTAGAGTACGAAAAATACTCGTTTTGTCATCTGTGTAAATTTTTATAAAACAGATAGTTTCCGAAACTATCAAACCAATTGTTGTCAA